TGGGCAGCTGATTGCAGCTAACACATAATCTAAGGAGCAATTTAGAACAGCAATATGAGACTTGATAAGTAGTTGGAAGGATTAGCCTCATTTTGAGGTTAAACAGCAAGTGTTGTTGCCAATAAGAAAACTCAGAAAAGCAAGTCATACTATCACTTAAAACATATTATGGCTAAAGTACAGACTATCAACAGTAGCTGACCAGCAGGGCAGGGCAAGCCACAGGCTTAAGTACCAGATTTCTTTTTAAATACAAGATGGAAGAGAATAGTAATCAGGAAGTCTTTATTCTCTCTCAAAGAGGATCTCTCTAAAAAGCCTCTCTAATTTTAAGGAGAGAGTTTCCAGGATAGCAGACTGAGTTTAGAAGCAGTCCCCTCTGTGTCTATCAACCAGTCCATCCCAGCCTGCCAAAGCTCAGGCTTCACAACATGGAAGCTGGCCAAGCCCAGGCAGAGCTGCAAAAAACCCGCACCACAACCTCTTCACCAAAGCTGGTGTCAACCCAAAACCACTGAGCAGTGTGCTGTAAATGAGGTCATTCAACCTCTCCAGATAAGCCTTCCTACTTTATAAACCTGTGGCATCTGCAATGTCAGGCCGAGTTTCTACTGTGACAGAAGATACAAATCAGACATTCAAACCTTTGTGACATTGCCAGGTACAATTATTAATGGAAGACAGAACCTCAGCTGCCTGCCAAGGGACCCCATGTCAACTGAACCAGATCCAGAGAGACTCATTGTCTTAAACATCACAACACCTGAAAAGAGGAGAGGTAAAAAAGAGAAGGTGCTGAAGTGTGATGACTATTAAATGTGCTGGGAATGGAATATTAGACCGAATATTCACAGCCTGCATCCGAGAAGAAATGAACCCCCCTAAATAGTAGATATCCACTGAAGAACTAAGAGCTATCAAGCATATACCCACAGGACCAGCTACTGTGTAAGACTCTCACAACTAATAAAGCTTTTAAAACAATAAGTTTACAATGAATGCTGTGTGGTAAGAACAGACTCAAGAACTGGAATTTGTAAAACAAAGTAAAAAAACATGCTATGAGCAAGACACCAATTTTGAAGGACTACATACTTTACAATGACAGCAGCAACAGTTCTGTGTCCCAATAGGAGTCTGAGGAACTGCAGCAGTGGTGTAAAACTAATGGTCTATAGCATACCCGAACGGACAGAGACACAAATGTGTATGGGTGGAAAAGCAGATATAATCTATGCTCTTGGGCATGGAGCAATTCTTTTGCAACCTACAGTGGATACACAGTCTGCTCGCAACAGAACATGACAGGGGTACTGAGCAGAGACTGTGCACGTTGTAGCACTGGATAGAGCACAATGGGCAGATCTCTAACTGCAGCAGACACTCCGAGCAGGCACTGCTTCCAGGGACAAGCACTGCACCCAGATGAACTGCTGAAGGCTCTGCAGAACTGTGAGCACTCTCTCAGCACAAAACAGTATCTCTCCATTGGACATTCATTGAGCCAAAACACTCCCAAAAAAACCACAGAATGGGTCAGGTTGGAAGGGACCACAGTGGGTCACCTGGTCCAACCTCCCTGCTCAAGCAGGGTCATCCTAGAGCACATGGCACTGGACTGTGTCCAGATGGTCCTTGAATATCTCTGGTGAGGGAGACTCTGCAATCTCTCTGAGCAGCCTGTTCCAGTGCACAGTCACTCTCATAGACATTCTTCCTCATATTCAGATGGAACCTCCTGTGCCTCTTGTCCTATTGCTTGGCACCACTGAAAAGAGCCTGGCACCATTCTCTTGACACCCTCCCTTCAGACACTTATAGACATTGATGAGGTCCCCTCTCAGTTTTCTCTTCTTGAGGCTAAACCAGCCCAGCTCCTCCAGCCTTTCCTCATAAGAGAGATGCTCCAGTCCCTTAATAACTTACTAGCCCTCTGCTGGACCTGCTTCAGGAACTCCACGTCTCCCTTGTACTGAGGAGCCCAGAACTGGACACAACACTCCAGATGCACCTCACCAGGGCTGAGTAGAGGGGCAGGATCACCACCCTCGACCTGCTGGCAATGCTCTTCCTAATGCACCCCAGGATACCATTGGCTTTCTTGGCCACAAGGGCACACTGCTGGCTCACAGTTTGTTGTCCACAAGGACCCCCACTTCCTTCTCCACAGATCTGCTTTCCAGCACGTCCACCCCTAGCCTGTCCTGGTGCATGAGTTTATTCTTCCCCGGGTGCAGGACCCTGCATTTGCCTTTGTTGAATTTCAGACAATTCTCTGCCCATCTCTCCAACCCATTGAGGTCCTTCTGAAGGGCAGCACAGCTCTCTGGGGTACCAGGCACTCCTCTCAGCTTTGTGTCATCAGCAAACTTGCTGAGAAGGAATCTACCCCCTTATCCAAGTCATTGATGAGCACGTTAAACAATACTGGGCCCAGTATTGAATCTTGAGGGACACCACTAGTGACAGGCCTCCAACTAGACCCTGTGCCACTGACTACGACCCTCTGGGATCTGCCATTCAACCAGTTCTCTATCCATTCACTATCCACTCATTTAACCCACACTTCCTCAGTTTGCCTAAGAGAATGATACGAGGCAGAGTGTCCAAAGCCTTGCTGAAGTTGAGGTAGACAATCACACTCCAGGGTTGGCCATGGGGTCAGGAGTTATTGCTGCACAGACTGCTCTCCAGGGTATAAGTAGCAATCTAGGGAATATCATATTTCCTTTAAAGGGATAAAGTATAATCCAGAAAAGTGTGGGTTGGTTGCTTCCCACTTAGCACATCTGCCATTCTTAGGCACATCATCAACAATACTGACCTCAAGCCTACCTAGCAATTCTTCTCAAAGGAGTGAGGTATTTACATAGTATTGCCCTATTGCCAGTTTTTGAAACTTGTTATTTTGAAGTTCACATTATCCCAAATACAATTTATCTGAAGAGGTACTTCCATTTCCCTCCTGTATTTATCATGAAGAATCATCAAAAGAGTAATACAGAATATCTCAATTTTAGCAGCTGTTGGTACATGTGTAATCTGAAAGAGGACTAAACTCAAGACAAACTTTCCTCTGTTCTTTAAGGTTGCTTACATGATTCTTGAAGTACATTCTTTCCCCCAGTTGATTCCAGCAAGGTATGACACTAAGTATTTTAAAAAGCTTCCCCAATAGCAGAGTTGTCTAAGACAAGAAATGGCACATTAGTGATGCAAGAAGTTTCTAACTCAGTAAAATGCTGTTCTACAAAACATTCATTTTTTTTTCCCCTTCCAAAAATAGCCTCTGTATCCTTCCTGACTTTTTATCACTCTTTTCTGTTTCAAAGTCCATTTATGCAAAGTATTTGTCAAAGCTTTTTAACTTGCTTGCAATGCATGGAAATATTATGTGTTATTAAAACCAGGTCAACACTGATTTAATAGTCTCTCTGGGAAGTTTTATATTTGATATCAATCTCTGCCACTGTCTTGCAATAGTAGCCTTGCTTAAGATCACTGCCTGAGGCCAAAAAGGAAAGGAAAGCTCTTTAATCTGGAGAAATCTGGAGTGAGGCCTCCTCCATCCTCTACAGAGTGCTTTGCAGTGATATTGAGGAGAAATGAATGAAAGGACTAATGAAATGTTAAGGAAACACACTTTTTTTTTTTTGCTTACATAGTTTCAGCAGTCCTGCAATTTAAACCAGAGCAAACCAGCTATGCCCAAACAGGAGACTTCTCTTGGAAGAGTCCCTGGGACAACACGGTCCAATATCAGTTTTTCTTCAGTAAACCTAAAGTTTCTGAATTGGTGCATGTAATACCTGAAGAGGGGAAAACATCACACTCTGCATACTCCTGTGATTAAATACACACTGAGTACATGTACCTTGGCTAATTATTGATTGACTATGCACACATTAATCAGTTAGATACAAAGGCATACACCTGGCCTAGCCATTATTTGGATCAGTAACCGCACATACAGTAGTCTTGGAGAGGGGGGTGTGGATACTATTGTTGCCCTCCCAGGTTTCCTCAAAATGGGAAAAAAATATGAAATAGCTACATTTCATAAATTAAGCATTATGCATTCTCCTGGTCATCTCCTTTGTTGGTGTTTTTCTGTTTTTGCTTAGCAAGACATTATTGAAGCCAACTGACACCCGTTTGCATGTTGGAAACATTAACCTATTGCACAGTAGCAAACTGGATTTTATATTACAAAGCTTATGATTGGAGAGGTTTCGGCTCATTTTTCTCTCTTCTCTATTTAATATGGTATCACCTGCTATTACCAACTGATTTGTAGCTATAAAAGAAGAAAATCAGATCATTATGACCAGAAAGCTTATGTTGATTTTCTGCATTTTTCAAGCTGTGCTTCAGTAATGGTTCATTTAAATTTGCCACCGGTCTCTGTTATTGCCAGCCTATTCATGGAAGAACATTTTTTCTTAACTATATCATTGGCAGAAAGAATAGAATTGTGTTTCCCAGTGTAACTATGTTATGTAGGCTTCAGTGGTCTGGCAACAAAAGTCAGGATCCGTCGCAGTTAAAGTCGGAACGGCCAAAGCAACACAGATATCAGTTGTAGTCCAGGTGTAAGGTGATCAAGAAGCTGTTTATTGCTCTCAAGTGTTTCTTTTATACTCTTTGTATACTATCGTGCTACAACATAATTGGTTAAAAGTCTCAAGCATAAAACACGGTACATACTTTCATTGGTAACACAGAAGACACTGTGCATACTGTCATTGGTGATACTATACACATTTTGATTGGTGACCTTTGGTCTCAGCTGCATTACGTTTGTTTTGTCTGGCATTGCAGTAAATATTTCCTTAGAGTTGTTTACATTCCTCTGCAGCCTCGGTGTTATCTTCTTTTCAGGGATACACCGCAATCCGATCAATGTCGATTGCCTCGTTGCTAAATGCCAGGCTGCTGATGGGCTCGCTGTCAACCCCGACAAGGATCCTGTAGAGAACCATCCACAAAATGTCCTTCCCAGAAAAAACAGGCATAAATGGTTCCAGCGAAAAATCCAGGCAATCTTCTCAATGTAGAGGCTACAAAGAGGCTCTGCAATAGAATGCAGAGAAAGAAAAGGGAAGGGTTCAGAAGAAACATCAAGAAATTATACACTGCTCACTCACGTCCAAAAATTGTATCTGCAGCACCTTTGTAAATTGGTGTCTAGTATACCACGGCTTCATAACTTCAGCCAGCTCATTTGTGTATATGACTGAGATCCTCAGATGGAAAACTTGATCTATGTACAACACATACACATGGGCTTCAACTTGCTTTAAGTATATACAATTTTAATTTTATCATACATGTTCCTGGATATCACTTTTAGTCCTACAGAACCATTGCCTTCCCCTTTCCTTCTACTCTCCCCATTTTCTTTTCAGCTTTAGTTGAGTGTAGGAAATAATAAAATGGATAGTGGAATAAGTGAAATGTAGATACCCAAAGCAGTCCAAGCTGGCTGAGCTTCAGCAGCTGAACTGTAATTTGTTGAACTCCTGCCGAATTTTGTGCAAGAGTGTGCTGAAAGCATGTTTCCTTGCCAATTAAGGCATGTTTTACATGAACCAGATTAACCATTTATAACACAAAGCAACCAGCATCACACTTGGAAACATCTAGCTTCTAATGCATCTTGAAGGAAAATTGTTTGAGCTGTGGAGAAGTCTAGTAAGCAAAGTTTTTACACATGCTTTATCTCAGTTACAGCTTCAGGAATGAAGCTAAACATGGAAACATATTTAACAACACAAAAATCTGTGCATCTGTAATAGTATTCTTCAAGGGCTCTGACCATTTTGTTCTGATGAAGTAACATTTGGAAAACATTAAGGAAATGCCTAGAGAAAAAGCTCCCTCTCTAGTAGTCCTAATTTTCAAAGAGCACAAAAGAGACTCAGAGACTGCCAGAATTTGTTATCTTCAGTGTCTCTGTTCCTCTTATACACCTTAGACTGCTGTTGGTTTTTAAAGGTCATCTTAAAATGAAGACTCCTTTTGGGGGAAAATATTCAAATGCTTAAGAGCTTTAAGCAAACACAGGGCAGGTTGTCCCTTGGAATGGACAGCACTACCTGAAAGTAGAATTAGCAATTAGAAAGGAGCTTATTAAAACACTTGAATATACAACACAGTAGACTAAGAATGACCCATTGCAGGAAAATGATACAGCATGTAATTCGTTAGCCTTTTTTTCCCCCACTGAATAGCAACATAAATGCTGTCCTAATGTATAAGAGTTTAAACACCCCAGTTTTCAAAGTCAGGTTCCGTATGAATTTTCACCTGGAATTAGTTTAAGGAGAACAAGATTCACGGGGCTGCTTTTGAATCTGATGGTTTTCCCTTTCAGGGATGACTTCTCACTGAGACGTCAACACCTACGTTATTGTCAAGTTGCAAAGATGGTTAAGGACATGCTAGACTGACTAGGAAAGTGAAAGAGCTATTTTGCTAAGCAGGAAAAATTTGTAAGAAAATCTTCTTAGAGTGTTTCCACGCTGTTTGCATTACATTGAGATTGCATTACTAGTTACTCCATTTGTCTTTGATAAACATTAATATATTGGTACTAATTTAAGGTCTTCAGAATGCAGTAAATTTCTTCTAGAAATGAAAATTTTCTCCCAAAATATCGTATCTTTTCTTCTCTAGCTTTTTATTCAGACAGCAAGCAAACAAGCTACATTGCACTAACTGGAAAAGACGAAATCCAAATGCTCCATTTCTGCACCCTGAAGGAAAATATAAGCCAAAAGAGCATGTTGTTACTTTACCTGATTCCTCAAACTTCGTCCTGTGTCAGAGTTTGCCAGCAAAATGCAATACAACAGTAACAGTTTCAAGATAGCCACTGATAGTTCAAGAAAAATCAGAAACGTATATCCATTTGCGTCAGACTACCAGAAAGTCTGCGGAGTGTTTTTTTTTACTTGTTTCTATTCAATGTTTTAAGATCCTGGTGGTAGTAGACCACCCGATGTATTTGATTTGTAAGAGTAAAAGCTCTTATATTGTGATAGTAAATTCCTCATTACTAAAACGAATTTGCCTCAAACCCATTAAAATCAATGGCAAGAAGAAAGAAAGGGGGGATGGAATGAAAGGCAGGCATTTGATCAATCAGGGAGAGTGAATGCATCTAACTATTAACCAATTGTCAAGCAATTTTGCTACTTTTACTACTTTCAGGGGCATATTGTCACAACTAGTCTAAGCCTGCCTGCAAGGCAGGTTGGACACTTAATCTCCATTCTGGTCTGTAGAGAATAAACCAACGGATTACACATTGAGCAGTTCTGTGCCAAGAGCATTGTGCAAGCCTGTGTAATGTCAAGTTCTTGGAGGACATTAGGGAATGGTGCTTGATTTTGCAGATGCATTGAAATCAGCTGGGTTGCCAACACTAGCCAAGGATCTGGTTGTATGTATGAAGACTTCAGTGAGGGCAGATGTCTCCTTCCTCACCCTCACAAGGACTAAAGCTTAGATTATAGTTCTAATAATAGGAGTAAAAGAGAAGATATCACTAGTACTCTTGATAATAACAGTTCTGTTCACATATTGGGTCAAGTTATTTTCTGAAATAATTCTGGCTGAAGCTGTTCAGACTACAACAGGCATTAATTTAATCCATTAGATTTGTCCATTACCTGCTATCTTGGGATATCCTTGTATTCAGACTGACCAGCATGAGATGTAACACATACTGCTAGGAAAATAGCTGCTAATAACAGGGACTTCAGGAAAGTGAAAATACACGTTAACTGAATTCCAATGAGTGCAGGAAAATAGTATGGCAATTGCAGCAAATAAAACACCTCAGTAACTGTGCTACTGTCATCCTGCAATGACTGGAAATATAAAGAGAAATTACAGATGCCACCCCTGAAGAGGAAATCTACAGAACAATGCACATAGCTCTATAACACCATTTTACATCAAAAGCACACAAAAATTTTAGGGAAGTACCACCAGCTCCCTCATGTCACCATTTTTCTCACATGCATTGAGAAAATCACTCATAAAGCTCATCTCATCCATCTGAAGAGAGCTCAGTGAGAACCCTGCTCTGAAGGATGGGTGAGCCTTTGAACAAGTCACGTGTGTACTATAGGGAAACAATGAGGCAAAAGGATAAACTGGCACTAAATATGTATCTCTGATTGTCATATGCTACCTGAAACTGAAACTTTAATGAACAATTTTGAAACAACTACCATCTAGGCAAGATTGTAAAAGAAGTTTGCCCATAAATCTCTCTCCTAGCCTTTAAATAAAGCCCAGAATCTTAGCTGACCTGATCACCAGTAGTAAATTTTGTTTTGGTCATTTGCTTCTGGTGACCAGGTTTCTGAGATTTATTTATTGATTTCCTTTAAGTAATTTATGTTGAAAATTCTAAACTATTGGTGCAATTTTTTTTAACATTTTTTTCAAGCTTTATAGAGGTAGCTACAAACTACTGCTTTCTTCTCATAAATGTACCAGAACAGAAACAGCAATTGCTAGTACTGATTATCAGGAAGAGTAGAAACAGAAATCTGGAGTCGAGTCACAACAGTGGAAAAGTAAAAAGAATGAAGAGTTCTTATTATCTGCTTTGAGAATTTGTAAAATACGTAAATTCAAACTGGCTGGAGATGTAATATCTGCTCTCAGAATATCTTTGGTACCTGAAAATGGGATTAGCTTTTCCATTAAAAAATAAAAAATCCAACATATTATACTTCAGCCCTGTTTTGAAAGCACAGACATTTAACCTGTGTTGATTTACTGTGCCAACCCTTTCCTTGTGGGCATTTGCTCAGCAGTTGCACTTGGGTACAAAAGTGCTTATTATATTCTAACACATTTCTAGTACTTGTATTAAAGTGCTTTTTTCAAATATAGCAGTATCTATTGTCCTTCTAATCAGACACATTTACATGGTATGACCCACTTAGAGCTGCAGCTAATGCTGTTAAATATTTTATTTGTTCAGTTCTCCAGGGTAAGCAGTTACAGAATGGCAAGGCCACCTATACCCCAAAACACTTGCCATGATACTGCAGAACCATTATCTCTCAAGATATTTAAGCTGGGCTGAAGAAAACTGTAGTAAACATACAGCATGAAGCTGCTCAAAGCTGGCTGAAAAACAGTTAAGAAAACATTTCCACCTGTCCTCTCCTTGACACTTGGATTATTGCTGAAGCTTAAAATTCTGAGACTCAGACTTTGTGATCAGTAGCACTATACAGGCTGCACCAGCTCAGCATTTTAACAAATATCTTCTCAAATCTAAGGCTGAATATCTCTGAGATGTCTTTAAGATATGTATAAAAAGTAAAACAGTGACAGAGTGAAATGATTTCTGGAAAGGATTCCAGTTCATTTGTTGAGACCAACTGGAAACAACCATATCACATCATGTTAGTCATTCCAAAGCCTGTTCCCAGAAACATTGTCACTGGATTGCAAGACACTGCTCAGCTTTGTCACATCTTGGCCAACTTAACGCAATCATGAAAATCCACGAGCAGGACAAAGCAAAAGCAGCATCAATGCTGCAATGTGCCATCACAGAGCTGCCATGCCATACACTGCTGTGCTTTCTCACTTTTGGGTACTTTGGTGACACAGCCTTTCTGAAACGCTGCTTCTGGTCAGCACAGAGCTCAGTGCAAAATAACCCCAAAGACGAGACAGGGGATGGCTTCTTGGTGCACAAAGGAAAGTCGATGGTAAGAGCAGTGTTTTGATGTTATTTCTAGTGCAGTAATTCCTCTGTGCCAGTGCTGGTCCTCATTGCTTCTGAGAAAACGAGGGAAGTGCTTTAGGACCAAGACTCTACTCAAGAAAGGCGGTAAGAGCAGAGTTGTTTCAGCCACCATGGCCTAATACGATGTTCCTTTTCTCCTTTATATTATCCCACTGTTCTCTGCAAGTGCAAAGTGCATTTTTCTCATAAGTTATTTCCTCTGGCAACCCAGGAGAGCTGTTTGACTCCTGACACTTGTTCCTTATCTCTGCTGGATTGTGCTTGCTGCCTCTGCTTCAGAAGAAAG